GCCTAAACTCAAGCACACCAGGCACGTCATGACCTTTCTGAGGACTTTGCTGATTTGGAAAACTTCAGGACGCATGCACGGGCCCAAATCGTTCTGAGGCTGACCATCTGTGGAAAAATTGGAACCAGAGAAACAGAACAAAACAAAAACAGACAAGGGCCTACGCACAGAAGTTCCTTTTTTCCAAAAGCCAAACAGAGGGGTCGAATCGGCCTAAGTTTTGGAGCGGGCTGTGGATCGGGTTCCGGAACGGAAACATCTATCGTGATGGTCGATGGTATGAAAATACGGATCATTGCGGAGATATGCATTTAAGCTTCCGATGGTTGCTCTGGAAATGCCCGAGGATGTGCCATGGGGGCTGCGACATTACGGTCATAAGTAAGCTGGAAGCCAACGATCATGAGATGATTCGGGGGCTTGATGAGTCGACGGGCTCGGGAACCGACGGTCATAAAGAAAACGTTTGAAGTACTTCGTATAATAATGCATTCGACGTTCCCGCGACTTGGCGTGTCAACGTTTCGTCTCCCGGAGGGTTATAATCTTTGAAAATGTGATTCACCGGCTGTGTTCTTGGGCGCAAGTAGGGGTTAGGTTGTGGGTGTAGTCCGATTGCCTGTGCGAGACGGTGTCTTTAGTACCTCACTTGACAGCTGCTGGAAAGTATGATACAACGACTTTCAACTTGAACGACTCCTTGTCTTGTCCTCAGACCTTGCCAAGCAGTGCCAGACATAGTCCGCATGGGACCGTCAAAAATAGCCGAGCTTACGTGTTCAAGCACTCGAAAGTCTCTGGGGGTGGTTGACATGGCCATTAGTCTCGGTGCAAAAGAACCCTGATCTCAAATCACCTGCATTGCTGTAGTTCCTCATTTCAGGCGGGAACCAGGTCGTCGTCTTGCATGCATCTAGTTAGTTACCACGGATGTCGAGCCAGCAATCTTGTTTGTTTGACGTCATCTCACTCCACATGCGCAAATCAATGTAATCTTCGGCCTACAGTTTCACTCCTTGCCATGCAGATTGACACATCAAAAAAAGGCCCCAAACCAAGGTTGCAGAGCATTGCCACGAACCCACAGGCCACGACCGCATCGTGCACGACGCCAGCGTCATCCCACATGCAGTCAGATGCCATGCTTCCGGACTGGGCCAAACCCAGTAGCTGCACGTAGCTGCTGGGGCGTCCCTCTCAAGGAAAACTGGTGGCAAGGGCAAAGGCGCTCACGCCATGCATAATTGCAACAACGATGCCTGTTGAACACCGACTTCGGTCCTCAACAAGAACACTCGCTCAGGAGTCTCAGGCAAGAGTCCACGATTCGCAGGTCCATGCAAAGCGATTTTCCTCGTCACTTTCATCTGCGCATGATCGCCTTTTGCTGTTGTTGCACGGGCAAGCTCCAAACCGTCATGTGCCACCAGAAACTTGGAATGCGTCTTGTTTCGCCAAAGAACCCGAGAGAGGCAAGTGAAGAGCACCAGAAACAAAGGTGCACTGAAATCATGCGACCGGTTATAGCACCATGCCCAGGGACACTGTAGTTGCTAGAGTTACCCTGCGATTGTGTCCAGGACGATGACAAACGGTTAGCAGCTTGGACAGACCCACAGCTCCCGTTAGCAAGTGTCGACTTTGCAATTGGGCAGTTGGGCAATCCAACCGTAGGAAAATGCGCGGCTGCACGTGTAGAGACACATCGAAGAACTACTGTGGTGTCAGGAGCTGGTTCAGCCCACCGGACCAGAAACTCCAAAACCACAAAATCGAATAGGGCCAAATAAGGCTCCCTTTACACTTGTAAGGGATCTTCTTTAATCAAGTGGTGTTGGAGCCTATGGGGTCATGCGCAAGAATACGAAGTCAATGATCCCAGGTCTGTGAGGATTGCCGTGTTTCAGCTCAATGTAACACTTTCGCGTCGATGCCAAGCTGCAGCATTCGCCAGAGAGCGACAGATCAAAAAATCAGCAACCATAGCAATCACTCAATCACTCCCAAGAAGCATCCTCGAGACGTGACAACGTGCAATCAAGTGGCGCGCAACACCCTTGCTGCACGTTTCTGCTGTCATTCCCTCATAAATGCTACATGCGCGTCCTTCCATTCGCTTACTGAAGCGCCAAGGGGCAATGTCACGGCCTATCATGGTGAAAGCGAAGAGAAGCCATGTGCATACCTTATGTATGCACGCACCCAGAAAGCTGGGGCTAGGTGTCACGCGACCAGATGATGGCCAGGGCCGGACGCAAAATGGACCATCTCGTCTACGTGGGCATTCCAGATCAACGTTTGTGGACTACACGTTTCGTGGGGATCTCGCTCGACCACTCACCCAGTCCCAAAGCATCATGCAAACTCATGGACTTTTTGGCGGAATCTGTGCTGAGAAGATGTGCGACATGTGTCAATGCTGACACGAATGCAAGATGCTCGAGTTTCAATGAAACTCACTCGTCCCCCTGCGTTATATCAACCACTTCGCTTCCCCCATTTCCAGTGCACCACGATCTGAACCGCAGCAAATCTGATGGACTAAGGCTTGAAAGTCTTCAGGGTTGGCACAAAAGGCATCCACCCTACCGGAGTGGTCCCGACAGGCAGCCCACGAGTAAGGAAGATTCGAAGCGGTTCGAAATTCAGCAACTTCCTACCGACATTGCCCTTGAGATCCTCGAGCTTCTGCTGTAACATCTTTCAATGCTCTTCGCATCTCTTCGCTTAGTTTCTCATCTTTTTCAAGATGGCGAAGCCGAACATAGCCGAACTGGCAGATTCCATTGTGGACACTGTGAGCCGGTTGTCGGGGTTTCGTCTCTCTACCTGTGCCATTCTTCCAAGGTGCTCTGGACCTTGAGCCGAAACGGCTACAACAGCAGCCTTTTGCTAGTAAACCTTCTATCAACTGGACCACCGTAAACTGACATGGCACCGTGGATTCTGACGATAGGAGGATCTCTACCAACATTTTGTGCACACATCTTAGACGCCAACATCAGCAGCTCTGAAGGAGGTTGGCTTTTGGCGCAATCCTGCTTCGGAGAAAGGCACTCGACAAAACAGCAAACCCAACTTCAGGGAAAACAGGACAGATAGGACAGGAGTTTTATGTCGTCCTAAAGCCTCCCAAAATCGACCAGTCACTAAGACGTCGCAAATGACGCGGATCAGTGAACGAGCTAAAACAAGCACATTACGAGAACACCTGCACAAAGAATTGTTCGAGATATCCGGCAGACAGCGCCTGTCCAAAGTTTCTTAAGGTGATCTACATCGGCGCGCGTTAGCATCCCAAATTGTTTCGGAAAGGGAAGGTGCAAGTCGAGCTTGCGCATCTGCCTGGACACGGCAACATCGCAGAAGTACTGTATCGGTACCTCTTGTTAATCAACGCATTGCTGCTCTACCTGAAACGCCACGTGCTACAACACATTGCTGTCACATCGGTCTCATCTGGCCCGCCTAGGCAATGTCTCTGCAACAGACACCAGCCCTTTATCGCCACAAGCTGCTGTGGAGCCCAAGTGGAGTGTGAACTTAGGCCCCGGCATTGAGTAACGCAAACAGGCAGAACGCAATGTAGACGCAATAAACATAGACCCAAAGCCATCCTATTCTTTTCAGAGGATGGACTGCATCAAACCAGGACAGCCCACCAGAAATGGACATGAAAAGCGTCAGCGAAGAAGATTGCAGGGTTCCAAACAGTGGCATCAAAGCGGCTTTGGTTTCCAGCTGGGACGTGTCGGACATGAAATTGCCCACAACATCAGTGAAAATGGCTGCAAAAACATAGTTGATCAGTGTCATAAGCAGCATCGCCCAAATTAGGGCCCTCAGGGTACCGAGAATAGACTGCACAAGAGTGCGAAGAGGTCTCAAGAATCGCGCCACTCGGAACACCCGGACGATGCGCGTGAGCCGTGTGAGCCGCACAACTCTCAAGATTCGCAAGTTGCTGCTCGTGCTTGTAGACTGGCCCCGTGTGTCCACCAGGAACTCGTAAAGAAGACTGGCGACAATCAGCGTGTCAAACACGTTCCATGCCCAGTTTGCATTACAGTAAAAGCCCCAAGGCCCTGCAGCAAGCAGTCGGAATAGGAGCTCCACCGTGAACAGAATACCATAGCCGATGCTGATTGCATAAATCCAGTCGGGTGTGACTGGAAAATTGTTCTCAGACTCCCATTGAATCACAACTCCGATGAAAACTGAGTTTGTAAGGATCACGGCGGCAAAGAACGCTTCGAACTGCCAAGAGCTGACCAGCTTTCCAATGCGTCCCTGACTTGCACCGACTTCGTTCGTAAGCACGTCGGTCAACGACATACTCTTTGATGCTAGCTTGTCTGCATCCGCCTCAGATGGCGCGCTGGCCTTTATCGCAAGCTCGTATGTGAGCGACCTTCTTCCACTCACGGTGTGCTCGGGTGAGGAATCCGCGACATTCGGCGCCATTCCGATGGCCTTGGTTTTCTCTGCAGTGATGTCATGCAGTCCATCGAGCTGTCGGCAGTTTGGAAGGGTCCCCAGCTGTGGCATTGGAGATGCAGCGTCGCGTAACCCATTCAATCCATTTCTTTGCAAGTCTTCGCTCGTCTGACTCGTCTGTCTTTCCAGCAAAGCCAGCAGCTCCGAGTACAGCTGCTGCTGCGATTGCTGAAGCACACGCTCCAACTTACTCGGAAATGTGTCCGGCATGGCGGATCTGCGCAGGTGTTAAGCGCCGGCGTCCTTCTTGATTCTTGCCTGTTGAATCTCAGACTGAGAACGCTTCCAGTACAGTCTTTCAGTAAACCTGCTGCTCACCCTTGCTTGCTGCAAATAGTTCGACTAAGTTCACGAACAAGCAAGCAGCTTGAACTTCGCGGCCCACTCGCCTTGCCCGGTCCTTGCTTGGTGCCTCCTTGCATTGTGCAATCTTGTGACGAGCTCCTGGAAACCTCGACGCCATTTTTCGGCTGGGCGCAACTGTACACAAGGAATCTCGATTACACATGCACAAACTCAGCTTTCAACGAATTGCAACGTGCTCTGCGATAGGGAGAGGGACAAATAGGGGAGAGAGAGAGAGTTGAACAGCCCCAATACATTGGGGAGCTGAGTTGGACACTGGACAACAATGCAATTGCAAATCTTGCCAGTGAAAACAAACATCATGCCCGAATGAGTGGATGCTTACGAAGGCAGCGGGAAAAATGACAAACCTGCGCTTCCGAGTATCTACGCGGTTTGCTCGTCACCGCCGAGAGTAGCAAGTCCAAATTCAGCATCAGCCGAATTAATGTGCATGCTTATGAATTCGGGGTTTCGGCACCTGATCGGCAAGTCCTGTCCTGATCCACGACCTGTTGAATGTTTCCCAACATCTGAGCCAAGTGCTCTTGAGTGCATGCTGTCTCGCACATCTGCATGCCGAGCTTGCCTATCTGTCTTCGCAGCATGTAGACGTCGATGGCCTTCGCGGTGCCTCGCAAACGTAGACAGCCCTCGAGAAACTCTTCAGGCAAAATCTGGTAGTCTTCATTGTGGTCCAAGCTCAGGAATAACGTCCAGGCATCAGTGGCTCCGAGTTCGAGTGCTTCGAAGAGAACTTTTACTTCCTCATCCTGAAAATGCTTCTCGAAGTGTGACAGGGTCAAGGAGCCATTACCTTCGTCGTCCATCTTTTGAAAGAGCTTGGTCAAGGACCTGGTCACAAAAATGAGACCATGTGCCGTAGTAAGCCGTCCCTCCCCCCCACTACCCTGCACGAGTTGCTACACACTTGTTGTGCTGCACAAAACGACTGCACTCGGTGAGCGGCTGCTTTAGTTGTTGCTTGTCCATGATCAAGGACTGCACGACCATTTCCTGATCGCGCTCGGCACCCTTGATGGCGGATTGGCAAAACACCTCAGACGGTGAATTGTCCGCAGGCACCCCAGCCGCCATGCTTAGTGGCTTAGTGGCTTAGCGCATGATATAGAACTGTGAATCTAAATTGCCACTTGAACTTCAGCCCTTCCGAAAGCCAACTCTGTAACGACGACAATGTCGTGTTCTTTGACTGGCCCAGTTGCTCCGGTCATCACATTGAGCACGGCAAAACATGAAAATGCCACATATGAGGCGAAGACATAAACCCAAAGCCAGCTGATGTTGGAGAGGGCACCAGATGCATCCTGCCAGGTTAGCCCGCCTGAAATCGACATGAACAATGTTTGCACAGAGATGTGGAGGGTACCGAAATACTTCTCAAGGTCTCCAATAGTTTCCACGCTGTCAGTTTCCAATATATGGTTGTTCACAATGTCGGTGAAGACAATGCCGAACACGTACATGATCAGTGCCAAGAGGAGCATCGCCCAAAACAAAGACTTCAATGTGTTCGCGATGGAGAAAACAAGGGTCCGCAGTGAACGGAAAAACCGCACAACTCGGATTACACGGAAGATTCGTGTCAGCCGCGTCATCCGTAAAACGCGGAGGATGCGAAGGTTGCTGCTAGAGCCTGATAGTTGCGGGTCTTGTGTCGCAACCTCCACGAAGCATTCAAAGACTGCAGATGTAACTACGAAAACATCAAACCAGTTCCAGCCCCAGTTCACAGAGCAAAAGAATTCGTGTGCACCAAATGCACACAGCTTCAACAGCACCTCAGAAAGAAAGATCAGCGTGTAGACTAGCTGGACAGCAAACATCGTGGAAGGGACCTTCAATGTCCTCTGGGCTGATTCCCACTGGATCGTCACTCCGATAAATATGGAGTTCGTGGCGATGACAGTTGCAAAGAATGCCTCGAATTGCCAGGAGCTTGCTAGCTCTAAAAGCCGTCGCTGCATGCGGCACAGGCGGCTAAGCCCAATGACCGGCAACTCCGCAGATTCTGATGGCAAGGAATCTTTGATCCGTTTGCTGGCCTCCTTGGCTAGCTCATAGGATCCCGACCTGTCCAGCGAAGCATCTCGAACGACGGGAGGAAGGCTGGAAGAAAGGCGAGAAGCCAAAGTCGGCCTTTGTGAGACATCCTCACCCTGCGACGGGCGTTCCTGGCATTCCTTTCGATCTGTCAGCTGCTCACTCTCCGTCCCAGGAGGAAGCGGGATAACCAGCGGAGGCGGCCCTAAAAGATCTGAGCCCTGCGATGAAATGATTGAGCCAATCTGCCGTCGCCTGTCCAGCAAATGCTCCATTTGCATTAGCAGCCGCTGATGGTGCTTGCTCAGCAAGCCATCCATAATGCTCACCAAGGATTCTTGGTCCATCTTTCTGCAGTGACGGGCCTCTACGGCGCTACGGCTACGGCCACATGCTTCGAAATACGCTGCGGGCATGAGCAAGGAAGGCGTGAACCCTGGTACAGCCGTCGTCCTGCTGGTCTGCCACGAGTGGGCGATCATCAAACGAACGCACCAGAGGCTTCAGTGTTTCTATCAGCCCAGCAAGGCTGGGTTTGCCAAGTTTCGGTATGTATGCTGCATGCACACACCGGCCGCTTAAACTTCAGCCAAGATATGCCTTCTCATAGTGTATGTGCTATTACATGCCCGTAATGCATACGGAATTTACCCACGCCCTCAGTTCACGCAGCACTTGCCGGCTACCAGCCTAAGTCGACCAAGGGTCGACCAAGAGAGTACCCTTTTCTAACTTATCTCCAGCATGCGCCACGCTGTCGAAAGGTCACCGAAGGGGTCCGGCCCCACCAAGTCTTGGACAGATGCTCCTGGCCAATGGTGAAAGCTGCAGGGCAATGACAGAGTTTGAAACCGCTTCTTACCAGTGTCTGCTCTCGGGACCTTTCCCGTACATTGCCAAGGAAGGCGAAGGGTTAACTTCGAGCAGAATCGCAGAACCATCACCTGAAAGTGAAGTAGTCCGCAAAGCTACAGCTCTTCTCGGCAGCAGGCTCAGGCACCAGCAATCTATCAGGAAATCTGCACCAAACAGCTCCCAGCAGTTCCTCCGGTGCTGCTGCAATCTCGCGACATGTGGTAAATCTCCCAAGCTTTGGAGTGTTAATGCTTGCCGGTTTGGTCACATCTTGTGCATGCTCAGGGGCGGGAGTGCAAAGAAGTGTCGCCGCCCAGCAGCCCGCAGGTTTGCCAAGGTGCCACCGAGCACCTTCAGCACCTGCCAGTAGACGCGACGGCCGAGGGCACTTCGGACAGGTCTTCTTACCAACAGTTAGTTCCAGGGTACGAGCATTGGCAAATAATTATCGGCAGGATGTGGCCGACCTGTAATATATAGAAGCAAGACTACAGTTAATATGAGTGAATCTGTTCTGCAACGTGGCGTTTCATAAAGCTACAGGTTGAGAGCAGCAGCAGTTGAAGTTGGCAGGCTCTATGCAAAATATACGATTATGACAAGAACCAACTGAAAGGCAATAATTAAGTGTAGGTGTGCTCCGTGTCGTCCTGCGAATCGTCCCGTGACAAACGTGTCTGCTTGAATGCAAAAAGAAGCCCTAAGGCCTCCGAATCATTGCAAAACTTGCAGGATGTACAACATATGCGTCCACGTACCGGCGGAAGTGCTGGATATCTTCACCAATCTTGATGTTTGGCATAATGCAAAAGGGTCCGATTTTCCCCCCTGCGAATACATAATGTCTACATGTTAAGACATTCCTCTAGTTTGCCAAGACTTTGTGATAAAGAAGTGGTCACTTGTCGATGCTGTACGCAAGCAACACATCCGAACATGGTGAACGTTCCGGAATGTGGGGTATGGGTGGTCAGTTGTTGATACATTCAGTAACGCAATCCCGGGTTCCTCGAAGCATGCCAATCTGTTCGCGGATGTTTGCGCCGGCGCTTCGTTTTGCAATGCCGCGCCTGATTGAAGACTTTTTCTGCCAGCTTCTCCCCCAGCATCTGCAGCCCAAGGTTCTGAGCCTCTTCAGAATAGCCTTCCGCACATGAGGGGGCTACGCAGGCATGACCACCGCTTATTTAGAAATACCGGAACATGGAGGCATCATCAGGCGACTGCCAGCCTGAGACGGCAGAGTTGACGCCCATGTTCGTGATGTGAACATCCGAGCGCATGCTGTCTTCGCTACCTTCCCGGTACGCGGTGGTGGCCATCAGCATCCGTACGTCGGAGTACACATGGGCTGTCCTCGGGAAGGAGTGTCGGCAGAATCGCGGCAAACAAATTGTTTGTAAAAGTGCCTCGTGCAGAAAGTGCAACTTCATCATTTGCACTGGACAGTCTCAATTTGAGCCGCAGGTTCAAGTCCCCGACACAAAGCAAGAGAGCTCTCAAGTGGAACTTGCGACCATCGTGCAAATATGGCTCGATGCTCCTTCCAGCAGAAACTGAGCAAACTGGATCAGCAGCTGGACATGGATGGAGCGAAACTTTGTACGCAACTAGTTTGGGTTGGTGTTGCTCCACCAGAGTTGGGAAGTGCCAGCAGTACAAGCAAACGACCCATCCGCCTTTGCAGCACCCAAACCTGTCCAGGTTCAGAAATCACTTTACACACGCACGATTCGGCGGATCTTCCACATCCAAAATGTTCCCTGCAGGTTGCAGTCGATGTCAGTCGATCAGCAGTGAATTCGCCTGCCTGAGACTTCAGGAGCGGCGCCTGGAGCTTCTCGTCGGCGGGCGCGCGCTGCACAAGCTCATGGGTGTTCCAGGAAGCCAGATCTTGCCAACGCCGGAGTTGCCTGCAAAAAAAGGAGATGTCGACAGTCCATGTACTCAGCATAGCATTCTGCTAACTCCTGCAAGCGATGGCGTTCTGCAGATCTTTGTCATGCATGCTTGTTCTGCGCCGATGGGATGGACGGTGCCTGACGGCGCAGCCCACCACAATCCCAAGGCCGCTTAGCAGCAGGACTGCCTTGGGCCACGTGCCTGCAGTAGACCGTTTCTGCATGCCACTGAATTGCATTTGTATCTATTCGTAGCTGGGCCTGACGACCGTTTTCGATGAAAAAGCGCAGAGCCCAGGAAGCAAAGCAGGGCTGCAGAAGCTACCCGGGCCGCATGCCTGAGTTGAGCTTGCAAGGAATTCAATGCACGAAAACAGCTCGCCAAAGGATGTCAAGACCTGTCTAAGGTCACCGACGATGTAAAGCCAACCCGAACCCGGTGTCTGACAATGCCCCCAAAGCCCTGGCAATCTCCACTGGTACCCCATCCCCATTGTCTTCAGGACCTGCGTTGAGTTTATGCAGCGCCCGTACATCTGAGCAGCGTGCGTGAAACTGCCCGGAAAGTGCATGACTTGCAAAAGAGCAAGTGCCTCACTTTCTGTGAGGAATCGGATGCCATAGGCGTTCGACGAGTGTGCCTGCATTCACGCCCCACATCCCGACGATTCTCAATCGTTGTGCATCGATTGTAAAGAAAATGTCCGCCTCATGTGCTGACTACCTCTCGAAGACACGAGTTCCACGAACCTGCTCTGGATACACGTTTACGTGTACCACGATCAGATCAAACCCTCGACGAGGACACATGCTCTTCTGCAGGAGTGCGCGTGCTTGCAACCCTCTCCGCCTGGTGCTTTTTCAGCACGGCATACTCTGCAGATGTACTACCAGGCTGCGCTATCCAGAGCAGCGGGTCATGAGAAGGCTGTGGGCCCCAGGCCTTCTTCAGCACGTAGCGCACCTCCTTCGTCTGAGGCTGCTTTCCACAGCCCAAGGCTCGAAGACCAGCTTGCAGCTCTCGGAAAGTCTTCACACTGGCAGATGGCCTCTGAGCCGTGTGCAACGGCTTGAAAGGCAGAACGTGGTTCTCAGCTGCATGAAGCCAAGTTGCGGATGACATCCGGCAGGCACAAAGCCAATCAGCTTGTCTTTGCGGACAAGGCCACTTCGAACAAAGTACCGTCCGGCTGATTGCCGGCCTGCAATCACCTCCTGGGCCACACGAGAACCGTGAACTGACATGGCAGCAAAAAGCCCAGCTTCATGTCTAAAGCTGTCCGGCCAATGACAGCACATAAGGGCGAGCAGTGTCAGAATAAAGAACCCAGCTGGCACTGACAAAAGTCAAAGCTGAAAGTGCAAAGCTCGGACATTAGCAGAAGGGCCTCCCAATCGTAGCTATGCCATGCGCGGACGCTTGACCCGTGATCACCGGCCGCTGCAGGATCACCCATTGGGCCATGCGGGTGATGGAGATCTACCAGTCATGTGCTGGGCCTGAATACAGTATGCGTGCAGTGTACGTGCAGCTGTCTCGCAGTCGGTCTTTGCATCTCAACAGCTCTGTGATACCGCATGCTGCTGGCACACTGCCGCTTGAATTGTCTGTGGCTGTCGTGTTACACAGAGGGAGCCATGCTTCACAGTCACCAACGGTGCTGCTGTTTTGGCGGTGAGAGCCTGGGACGCTGGCATGGGCATCCTTTGGTTTCCCGACCTCCTCGAGCAACGAAGGAAGCATCAAATGATGGCTTGATTAGGAGTGCCATTCGTCCTCCCAAAACGGCGTCTCACCCTCCGCCAGCTCTTGACGACGTCGGCGTGCGCACGCTGCACCTTGCTTGCGAATGACCCACTGGCAGGCTGTGGCACTTGTTAGAATAGAACATTGCTACGTTCGGCTTCTCGATATCTTTGAGTTCTCGTGATGCTCTTGCTTTTGCTCTCGCCACTTGCTACTGTCAGCAGCCGACATCATTGCCGGTGGTTGCGACACTGCATTGTAGGACGAACGCAAAATGCAAAGCTACGAGTTTCTTCCCTCAAACAGCGGGGTACCACTAGGGAGTTCTTATTTTGGTACAAATTGAATTGGCTAGTGATGGCGTTTCCGCAGCTCCCGCAGCGGCTCGGTGCACATCTTCGACCAAACTCGTGCTCGTTCGCAATCATCCACTGTAATGTCCTATACTTGGATGCTCGCGAACGGGTGGAATTCGTGCTCCTAGCAGGGCGAAGCCACGAAGCTCCTCGCCCCTTCCTGTTCTAGGGGTTGGGATTTTGGGATTCCGAAACCGTGCCGAACCGTGGCATTGCGAGGCCCGGAACAATGTCGTGCAAGTTTGGGCTGCGACTCGTTTGCGCCTCGCGATTCTGCCATTTTCAGAGATGGGCATCCATGTGTTCTTTGTTTGGGGGCTCTTGCCACTGGGGTTTGAGCCATCGGAACTCACCAACAACATACAAAAACCGACCGAAACCTGACAAAACCCAAGACAAACTACAGGGAGGGACGGGCTGTGCCATGCATCACTCGCTGTCTTGTCTTTCCATTCTGGCTCCGGGTATGCGGTTCCCCAAAAACCCAAAATCAATCCTACTCACTTCTCACGAAAATCCCAGTCCAGATCGAAACATGTGTAAATCCCGCTTACATCCCACTTTCCTGTGGCAAAACCGGCAATCGAGCCAATTTACGTGAGCCAACATATACAATGGACGGCGATGGACCTGCAAAACCATCACGGTTTCCCTCCGTTTACGGTGTTTAAGAGGATATGTTTCAGGTGAAGAAGGCACACTTGAGGGGCGGAGCCAGGGGAACGAAAGCCAGCCGCTATAGCCGCTAGAGCTGGCGAGGCGGGCTCCAGGCA